CGGCGGTTGCTGAGGCCTGCCTGCCCCTTACAGACCCCGGGGCGTGCTGAGGCCTGGCTGCCCCTTACAGACCCGGGGGCGTGCTGAGGCCTGGCTGCCCTTCCTGTAGAACCGTCATGAACATCCAGCTCCATTTAGGGTGAAGGGACAGCCTCTGGTCTCCACTGTCTTTCACTTTTCAGAAGCAGAAGCCGGGAACGACACAGCCCAGCTCAGACGTGTGGCTCCAGCCCTCCACGACCACCAGCCTCCACAGCCTGGGCTGCACGGCCAGGCCCTGCCCTGATGAGGGCAGGGTGAGCAGGCCAGCCTGCCCTTGGGTCAGCTGTCGTCTGCTGCGAGGACCCGCCAGAGCTGGACTCTGGTGGCTCGTGCGAGGCTTCTTAGCAGTGCCCTGGTTCCCCAGCCCTGCCACAGGCACAGGGTGGCACCTGCCCTTATAAGACCCAAGAACTTTAGTTCTGCTATCGGGTGCACGCACTTCGGGGGGGGGGTGAGAAGCCTCCCGGGGATGGCTGTGTTGCGGTACCTCTCCCTCAGGGTCTGGGCATGCATGCACTTATGCCTGGCCGCCGGGTCCAGGACTCGAGCCAGGCAGTTGGCCGTGTGGGATCCAGCTGCCTTGGCCTCCATGGCACCTGCTGGCCTCCACCTGAGACCGTTGGGGTTACCTGGTTCTGGGCCACCCGTGTATGCCCTCTGAGGTTTAAGCAGACGGTACCTGAAGACGTGGACCGAGACCCTCTTACCGTACTTCAGAGAGCCCATGTTGGTGGGCTTGGGTGAATGTCCTCAGTTTAACTCCCGTCACCTCACGTGAGGCTGAGGCCACACAGAAGGGGTACTGCTGGGGCTGGGGTGCACGGGTGGGAAACCCGCTGCCCTCAACACCCAGGGGCTAAACTCCAGAATGTGATTTCGCGCAGCTGTCTGAGAACACATGGTTCCAGCAGCCCCAAGGCCCACCCGCCTCTGGGTCGCAGTGCACTTGTGCCAGGCCACAACCACCACAAGCTGTGGCCACCCAAGTCAAAGCTGGGCATGGCTTTTGAAACCCAAGATGAGGCTGCCAGGTGGCATGGTGGTTAAAGGCCTGGACTCCCTCATGGCCGACCACAGTTCAAGTCCTGGACCTGTGGCTTGCTTTCTCACTGTCTCTGATCAAACTGGAAAATAATAATAAAGTTAAAATTAAAAAAAAAAAAAGAAAGAAAGAAACCCAAGATGGAATCTGCAGGTGCCTGGTTAGCTGCTCTGCACTTGGGAGGGGTTGTGTCGGGCTCTAGGACGGGCTCCACCTTTGAGCACCCACGGTGCAGGGATGGTGAGCCACCACCTGAGGAAGCAGCTGCTGCCTGAGGCCCTGCCCTGAGCACTGTGGGTGGGCGCTCGGCAGTACCCCCACACCCTCGGGCGTCACGTAAAAGCGGTTTATTTACACACTGTTCAGAGTAACAAGACTCAGGCAGCCCTGGGAGGCCAGGCTCAGGCAGGCTCCTGCCTTCCCACCGAGGTGGGGATGTTCCCTTCGGTCCGGGTCACTTGGGGGCAGGGTCCCAAGTGGCTGGTTTTGGCAGGCGAGGGCACACCATGGCTCCTGGCCCTGCCGGGGCGTGGGACGGGGAGAGCAGCACTAGGAGTACTTGGTGTTGGAGATCTCCTTCCAGAGCAGGGCCCTGAGGTGGCTGAGCACCAGCGAGTGGTGGGCCTCCACCTGGCTGGCCAGCCCACTCAGCGTGCTGCAGGTGCGCAGCTGCTTGCCCAGCTCCTCGCGCAGGGCGGTGGGTGCGCCGGGGAGCAGGTAGTCCCGCAGCAGCTCGCACACCTTGGCCAGGTTGGGCTGGATGAGGTCGCCCTTGCACTGCCGCATGAGCCTGTCACACGGGGCCCTGCAGTCGTGCCCGTAGGTGCAGTCCGCGCTGTGCTCGCAGCGCCGGCCCTGCAGGAAGCGGCGCACAGCGGCCTCCGGCGCCACTTGCTGCAGGTCGGCCATCTTGAAGTCGTAGGTGGCCGTGTAGCCCACATTGGCCAGTGTGGTTTCGCACATGTAGAAGGTCCCGTAGGAGCCGTGGAAGAGTTCCTCCACAAACTCCAGCAGGCCGATGGCGGTCTTGGCCCGCCAGGGCCACGCGGGCCCAAGCCACTGCTGGAGGGTCTGGTGCAGGGCGGCGGGCAGCAGCGGGCGCAGCAGGGGTGGCAGCACGGCCCTGTGCCAGGAGCCACGGGGGGCGCCCTCGGTGAGGTAGAGGTCCCCGCAGGAGCCCAGCAGCCGGGACGCGTGCTCCTTCTCCTGCAGGGACAGCAGCAGCAGGAACTCGGTGTGCTGCAGCAGGGCCCACACGGACTTGGCTTCGGCCAGGGACACCCTGCTGTCCTTGTTGAAGTCAGCCACGAGGAGGACCTGGCCCACCAGCGCCGGCAGGGAGGGCAAGTCCCCCAGGTTTGCCTGGCATTGGGGACCCAAGGAGAAAGGCATTATGGGGCCGTGATGGTGTCTAGGCTGGCAGAATGCCGGGCCTGGGCGCTCGGACCCTCAGGATGCCGAATGTACCCCCGCCAGGCCGTAGCATCTCTGCCATCACGTCTCCCCACCTCCAGGTACCACAGGTCCTGTCCCCCCCAGTGCTTATGGGGGGAGTTGGGCACTGGGCATGGAGCTTCTGAACGTCTCAGGGTCAGCACTGGCCGTTTCACCTCCCGCCTAGTATCCTGCCATGCCAGGTCCACTGGGTGTTCAACGTGATTCCCCCCTCCCCACTTCAGGGGCTTGGCTCTGCCAGCCACCTGGCCCGCCCTGCCCACCTTGGAAGGCCCCTGGCCTGCCTCTGCCCAGGGGTGGAGTGGCAGGTGCCCGCTGACCTTGAGGAAGCTGAGCGTCATCTCCCGGAATTCCTTAATCGAGGTGCCCCGGGGGGGCTGGTCAAATAGCACCGGTTCCCGCCGAGGGGCTGTGTCCGCCCGGGCCTGAGCGCCCAGGGCCTCCTCGATGGCACACTTGATGGTCACCTCCTTGTCCTGCCAGAGCCCGCTGTACACCTGGACAGGCCACAGGGGTCCGCCGTGCAGACGCCCTCCCCTCCCACCGCAGGGCGCGCCTCAGCCCCCGCCCCCAGCCCGCCCAGTGCCTGCCTACCTGCTGCCTGCTGGCCGGGGGGTGCCGAGAGGCAGGTGCCCCAGTGCACCCTGTGCAGCTCACACAGGTCCTGGCAGATGGAGCCCGAGATGACGCCCTTGCGGTACTGGTCGCACTGAGGGGACAGGGACCAGGAGTGGCTGGTGGCCAGGGTTGGTAGTCCCCACGGGGCATGCCCCCAGCACGGCCTGAGGCCACACCTGCTCTTTCAGGGACTCCGAGGGAGGGGGCCGACGACGACATAGAAGGTGGCCTTGGGGTAGGCGTGGAGGTGGCATTTAGCGCCTACGAGTCTGCCCAGGCCCCCGGGCCTGTGGTTCCGAGGCCACGGCACTTTTCTGAGAGACCCCCGAAGTGCTGGATCCAGCCGGGCAGCCTTGGCCCATGGTGACTGCAGCTGGGTACCACCAGCCCCCATCCTGGGTGTGGGGCCAACAGCCAGTGCCCAGGTAGCCAGAGATGACAGTGGCTCTGCCTGGGAGCCAGGTTCCTGCCTCCTTGGTCCGAGTGACCCTCGCCCTGGCCTGGACTCTGGCCAGCTGCCACGCCCTCTTGGCCTGACCGCATTCTTGCCTTGGGGGACCTGGTGGGACGGCCCTCCCTACCTGGGAGCCGGGCCACTGTCTGGGCACTGACCACCGTGGGTCTCACTCCGGGTCAGGGGCTGCCCCGGGGATGTGGTCAGGGTCCACGCCGCTGCGGCTGCCTGAGGGGCCCTGGGCATGGGCGGGCCGGACAGCCTGGTGTTAGGCGGGTCCGGCCATCGCCCTCGCCCTCACCAGGGTGAAGCAGCACCTGTGGGGGTTGCCGAGACCATGCCTGCTTCTGCGCTCCCCACTGGGAGTGCTGGCCACTCTGGCACTGGAAGGACCCCCAATTTAGCTGGGGGTGCCACACCTGCTTCTGCATGAGCTTTCCCTGGGTACCCCCAGTCGGTGGCTTGGTCTGCCTCTGTCCCTGCACCCCAACTGGGTTGGAGCAGGTGAGGGGCCAAGAGCCTCGACCTGGCCCCCATCTGAGGTGCTGGTGTAGCACGGGGCCAGGCTCAGGTCCCCCGCTGTTTGCCACTGTGGGCTCCAGAAAGAGCACCCTGGGGTCCCACAGTCTCACCCTGCCTCGCCTTCCTGCCAGACGGCCCCAAGCCAGAGCTCTTAGCAATGGCTACATCACGCCAGCCCCATCCACCAGACGGGGCCTCGAGTCCACTGAGGGGCCACCCTGAGGGGCCTCCGGCTCTGGGGCGAGTTCCTGGCTGTGCCTCACAGGTGGCCATGGAGCTGGCGGGGGTCGGTGCTGTGCCCCCCCCCCGCCATCCATCTGCAGGTGAGGGGCAGGGAGAGACCCAGGGCCCACCAGAGCCAACCAGAAGCATGACGGCCCCGCAAACCAACCTGGGTCGGTGAGTGCGGAGGCGGGTCCTGGCCGCCAGAACCCAGCGAGTTCCCTGGAGACAGGGAAAAGCAGGGGCCACGGGTCCACCTGCCATCCGCCACCGGTGCAGGGGCCTTTCTGCTGGGGTCTGCACTGACCACAGACCAGCAAGTGTGAGCCCCTGCCCTTCCCCACCCAGCTGCTGGGCTGAGGGGTCCCCGCGGGAGGAGTGGGGTGTTGAAAGAGGGAGCTGAGTCCTGCCCCCGCAGCTGAGGGCGACCTCCCTGGGGTGGGGCAGGGGTGGCTACATGTTCAGCCTTCCCAGGGCAAATCCCTGGTCTCTCCCTCCTCTCCCCATCTGCAGAACAGAGCGCCCTGCCAGCAGGGCCCTGTCACCACCGCCTTCCCCTCTGCTGGGTGGCTGCTACTGCCCAGGTATGAGAGGGGCCTCCCGCCCTCACGGCTGACAGAGGCTTCTGGAGAACAGAGCTGGGCATGACCCCAGAGAGGGTCCAGCCGCCCGAGGGAGCTCCGCGGGGCAGGAGAGCCAGGGCTGTCTCCCGTGTGCTGGGGGGCACTGTTCTGCTCCCCACAGCGGCCTCCTTGGGGCCCCCACCCCGGGCGACTGCTTCCAAGAGCAGTGGGTGCTCAGAAGACACCACAGCGCTGGAGCCGCTCAGCCCTGCGGGCCAGACCCCAGCTCCTGCCTCCTCCAGACAAGGCCCAGCCTGGCTCCTCCACCTGCATTCCAGTGGAACGTGTGCTCGTAGTACAACTCTACAACCCTCGCTGGCTCCCCGGGGCCCACTGTGTGCCCTATGGCAGCTCCTGGCCATCCTGGGTATCCCTGCCTCTGCCCAGCTGAGATCAGGGTGACCGGCTGGAACCCCGGGCTGAACCCTGAGAGGTACTTAGCCAGCAGCTGGGAGACTGAGGTAACGGTGCTCCCGGATACCGACCAGCCCGCCGAAGTGCTCATCCCACTCCGGACCCCTCACCCTGCACCCCCCGACCTGAACTTTAGAGCAGCCTGCAGCAGCCAGGGACCAGGGGCCAGAGCCCTTCCCAGACAGGGCGATGGCCCCACGGCCCGCAGGACAGGAGCTGCCCTCCTGCAGCACGGGGGCTCCGAGCAGGGATCTCCCTGTCCCTGGCTCCTGCTGTGACTCCCCAGGAGCTGCCGCTGCTCTGAGGGCCTTCCTGTGTCCCTGCCAGCCCCAGTGCAGGGTGGGCCTGGAGCCATCCTCGGGGGCGGAGCTGCACGCCCTCTCCACGGCCAGCCACAGAGCACTTGGCCTGCACACGCACGAGCAAATGTGAGCGTGTACACCCATGCAGGCAGACACATGTAAGCATGCACACGTGCTCTCCTGGGCACCTGCAGCAACCCCCCTCTTCACGTCTCCCTCCTGCTTTAGCCCCTGAGCGCCCCCCGCCGGCCAGGGCCAGCTTTGCAAAGCACAGACCAATTTTACTCGAAGCCGCCACACCTGTGCCGTATCCACAAGTGCCTAGAACCCCAGGGCCTGCTGTCCCACATCTTAGCCAAGGGCCCACCAGGTCCCTGCGCGCCTGGGCATCACTTACGATGACCGCCTGGCAGACGTGGCCGCGGCAGAGCTCCGAGTAGGACGAGTAGCGCACGTACACCATCCAGCTGCCCACCAGGACGCCCAGCCAGGCCAGGAGGACGTACTTGACCCTGAGGCCTGGGAGCCGGCCCTGCAGAGGCAACCAGAGGAAATGCCGGTTCACGGACCAGGGGCCACCGCACACCCCCGCCAGCCTCCCGGCCTGCTCTGCCCCCAGCCCCACTGCCGGTCCCTGCCGGTGCACCAGGACCTGCCACCTGGGCCTCCCACAGCCCAGAACGTCTACACTTCCTGACAGGGAAGGGTAAGCTGCGAACGGAGAGGCCGTCGGGCAGGCAGCTGTAGCTCTTGCTCACTAGTTACTTTTGTTTTGCTACAGGGTACATGCGCCTGCCAGAGAGACAAATGGGACAGTGAGAACCCCACCCCCAGGGGTGGCCCTGCTACATCCCTTCTCTGGTCTCCCATCGGGACTTTTGGGCACACACGCACATATGCCCGGGGTATCCCTCAACCCACGGGTTCAGGTAATTGCTCTGTGGGGTCTGGCCCACCAGCTCTCCATCTCACTGCAGAGAGCTAGGTTTCCGGACTCCTTGCCTGTCTCCCCTCGTCTCACACTCCTACCCACAAGACCAGGCCCGCTCTCCGGTGCCGCCGTGGGTCGGAGGTCCAGCCAGGAAAAGGTTTGGAGCACAGAGTTCCCGGGCCCCAGCCCAGCCATGCCCTGGGAGCTTTGGAACACAGCCCACGGACCCACGTTCACACGGCCATGGCAGAAGCCTGAGTCCGTGGACGGTGGAGGATACGCGGGCCGTCCCTGCGGTGGCACCTGCTGTACTGGGCGGGCCCTGAGCACAGCTGGTGAAAGAACCCGACGTGGATGGCCCCGCCGCACGGCCTGTCTGTGAGGTGCCCAGAGCAGTGGATCCAGGGCCAGGGCAGGGAGGTCTCTGATGGGGACAGTTTCGGTTTGGGAAGAGGAAAAGCGAGGTGGACGGCGACAAGGGCTGCGCAGAGTGAATGGCATGCTCCGTGCCACGGAGCGTGCGCCTGAAGATGGCGAGGCCCGGGACCAGCAGTTAGCGTAATGGCTGTGTCACTGAACTCCCATGTAGCTGACCGCAGTTCGAGTCCTGGACCCAGTGGCTTAAACTCATGCTGGGCGCATGTGCATGCGTGCCCAAGATCCCGAGAGGAGAATGGAGGAGAAGGGATTGCAGTGTGGCCATCCCTCCAGGGTGGAGGGGTGATTTCTGACTCTTTCTGGCGAGCACACATACCCTATAGCAAAAAAACTCTCCAAAAAAAAAAGCTGATGAGTCCAGCGGGCAGGTCTGGGCAGCGGATCCATGGCAACTGTGGGGCCCACCTGGGCACAACTGGCCTAGACGCCCCAAGCATGCGCCAGCACCCGGGGCTGCCGGGGTGGAGGCCAGGGAGGCCCAATGGGGGCGCGGCCAGGCCTGTGGAGGGTGCCCCCCACGTACTCTCCAACACGAATAAAGAAAAGCACAGGCTCAGGTGGAAAAAAAGACAAGTATCCTCTAGCCCCACAGCCTGAGGTGCTGCCCCAGTGCCTGGGACCTCTTGGTTCTTATTTTTTAAGTTTCTGCTAGAGGGCCTGTGCACTTGTTGGAGAAAGAGAAATCCCCTCCTGGGGGATGGCCATGCCACAACCCCTCCTCCATTCTCCTCTCAGGATTTGGGGCATGCACAGACACACACACCATGTTTTTCAAGCCGCCGGGACCAGGACTCGAACCACACAGCTAGTCATATAGTATCCATCTGCCTTAACCACTAGGCCACTGGCTGGCCCCAAAACTGGAACTGTTTTCTTCTAGAGAGATTTTTGCTATAGGGCATGTGCGCTCGCAAGAAAGGCAGAGATAGAAAATGAGAAATCACCCCCCGGCGGGGATGGCCACACCGCAATCCCTTCTCCTCCATTCTTCTCCTGTGATTTTGGACATACACACACACACACCTGGTGTGAGTTTCAAGCCACCGGGTCCAGGATTCAAACCACGGTTGGCCATGTGGGAGTCCAGTGATTTAACCTTTATGCTAGCTGCTGGTCCCCATGGCTCCAGGCCACTGCTGTCCTCAGCTTCCTGCCCTCATCTCCCCAGCTGGTATGTGGAATCCCAGGGTGTGAAGCTTCCTTGGGTGCTGGGGACACTGTCTCCCACCCAGGACTCAAGCCAGGTTTCCAAGGGTGGCCTGGGGACAGCCAGGTGCCCCTTCCTTTTCCCACTCACCCTGGAAAAGCAGCCAGCAGGGAGGGCCGGGTCCCTGGGTGTTCTGTCCTGCACTGGACAGACGTCCTTTCCTGCAGCTGAGGGAAAGGGGACTGCCCAGGGGCTGCCCAGCCAGGAGGGCAGGAAGGTTGGGGCTCGGGCACCAGCACCTCGTGGCCCAGCCAGCATCTGTGGGGGCCTCCTGGTCACAGACACCACTGGCTCTCAGGCCCGCCCAGTCTTGGTTAGCTCAGGGACTGGGACAGAAGCATCCTCCATGGAGGTGCCACCAGCTTGTCCCCCAGGCCTGAGTGGCACCGAGGCCTGGGGGCCATGGCAGAGGCAGGGCACGGGTCTTTGCCCCTTGGCCCACTTGCCCTGTAGTGTCTGTCTCTGTCCGACTGTCCGAGGTGGAGGCAGGAAACAGACGTGGGGGAACAGAGGCTGCAGGTGGTGTCCTGGCAGGGCGAGGCACGGACGGCTGCTGGGTGAGCCAGCCCAGCAGTGCTGGGGGAGGGCTTGCATGGGCAGGGGCCCAGGGGGCCAGCCAGCAGGAGGGCAGGCCTGGTGGCCCCCAGGGCAGAGAGCAGTGGCCCTGTGATGACAAGACTGCACGAGCAGTACGAATGTGACAAGCACCCCGGTTCCCCTTCCCTGCCGGAAGGGCATGCAGGGGCCCCAGTACCCAGCCTGGTCCCCCCGTAGAGGGACAGCCTCGCTATGCACCAACTGTAGACACAGGTACAGTGTAGGGGACTGCGCGCCGTGGGGCAGAAAGGGGCCCTCACTACGCCGTGCACTCCTACACTGTGACCGGAGCGCATGGCTCCTGGCCAGGCTGTGTGCGCCCGAGACCCACGACCTCTGTCCCGCATGGTGCTGTCCTCAGATCCTCCCTGAGACCTCGAAGAACATCAGCGTCTGGAGGGGTAGATCCTCGGGCCATCGGGGACCCGTGACTAGTTCTTGGGCTTCAGAGGCTGGTCAGGGTGACAGGCTAGGGTGAGTTGTTCTCATCTCGTGCCTGCCATGCTGGGCTAAATCTTACACTCCGTGCCCGGCTTGGGCACACACGACCAGGCCTCACCCCCTTGCACACCCGCTCTGCAGCCAGACAGCGCCCAGGCCCTGGGCCGGACATGGTGGCCGCCTCCCCACCTGCTTGGTTGCTCCCCCAGGTCTTTACCTCCCACAGACACTTCCCCTGGGGGGGTGCCAGGGCAGGGCAGGGCCCACTCCTCAGGGGCTCTCGGCTCACCAGGGAAGACATCCAGCCAGGACCTGCTCCTGGAGGGGATGCCTGAAAGGTGGCATAGAGGAACCCAAGGGACAGTAATAGCACACCGCAGGCGGCCACCCTCGCCACCAACCTGGAGGGCACTGTGCTGGCGGGGATGAAGGCAAGAGTGCAGGCCCCACCACTGCAGGGGTACGGGGGGCTCCAACCAGGTCCTCCCAGAGCCAAGCCCAGGGGAATGCCAGGCGCAGAGGTCCAAGACAGGGGTCAGGCCTATGCCCTGGGCCTCTCTGCAGCTGCCAGGCCAAGGCCCTCCCTCAGGGCTACAGACAGGTGCACGCCCCGCCTCCCGGCACAGGGGGGCCTTGTGAGTGCCAGTCCCTCACCCCTCTAGGGTGGGCAGGGACCACCACATGCCCTGAGGCCCCCAGCAGGAGAGCTGGCAGTGAGGGGCTCATGGCAACCGCCCTCATCCCAGAAGGGGAGCTGAAGCCGCCGACCCTGGGCTGGACCAGGGTCCTGCCTCCAGGAGGGTCATGGAGAGGCCTTGGAGGAGTGGGCAGGTCTAGCCAGGGCTGGCTCCTCCCTACAGGAGGCTGGGAGGACAGCCAGTCAGAGGCATCTCTGATGCGAGAGGTGAGTGTGGACATGGGTCCTTGCCCAAGGTCACTCGGGGATCAGGGCAGGTCCCTGCACTCTGGCTAGCTGATGCGATGACCAGGGGAAGGCCCTGTCCTTCCCAGACCGTTTCTATGTGTTTCAAGTTTCCCACAGCAGAAAATCAAACCTCATTTTTCAAGGCGAGAAGAGGAAAGCTTCGTTGCTGCCTGGCGCGGGGAGCCGGTCTGGCCTGCGCAGCCCGCAGCATCCGCGGCGCCCGGGCCTCCTCTCGCCACCGCCTTCCCAGCCCCTGCGGGCCCCGCCGCCCTGCGGTGCCACCCCTCCCCCAGGGTTCCCGGACCCCCAAGCCCGAATCCCGCCGGCTC